GCACTTCCCCTGTCCACATTTTTTTAGTTTAACATGGAGAATGCTCATTTCCCATATCCACCTCTTGCTTACTGGTACTGGTATATGATACTATGATTTCTTGAAGAGTATTAAAAAATCCTAGAATTATGCAGAATGTAGGCCTTTGAGGAACTAGTCTGTGGTGCACTGTAGGATGTCTTTCCTTAATATTCCCAAGGATGGAAATTATTTTAACATGCCATGAGTTTTTGTCAGCCCAGTATACTGCTCACTTTTGTGCATATATAACTAGTGGGTCGAACCATGGAGACTTTGGAGCAGCTTCTCCTGAATGCAGCCCTGTAATGCCATTGTTCACGAAATGATGCAGGAAGGCCGTTTTGGCAGCAACGTGCAAAGGTGTTGAACATGGGTGAAATGCAAAAATGTAGAACTTTTGGTTCAGAGATGATGTCTTTTATTAGACCAACTGAGAAATTGCAAAAATATATGTTTTTCTGCAAGCTTTCGGGCTCACATGCCCTTCATCAGGCTTAGGGAAAGTTCAAGATGGTAAAAAGTTCCCATATGTAGGAAATAAATTTCATTTTTGCACAGAGGAAACCGAAGCTGGAAATCTGTCGTTCTAGGTCCATGAGACACTCTCATGAGTTACTCCAGAGGGACAGATTTCCAGCTTCAACTTCTGTGCAAAAATGATGTTTATTTCCTACATATGGGGATGTTTTACCATCTTGAACTTTTCCTGAGCCTGATGAAGGGTGTGTGAGCCCAAAAGCTTGCAGAAAAATGTAATTTTTTTTTGCAATTTCTCAGTTGGTCTAATAAAAAGTATCATCTCTGAACCAAGAGTTCTAGATTTTTGCATTTCTTTTTGTCTCAGACCAACACGACTACCAAATATATCCCTGGAACATGGATGAAGCATACAAGACAGATTTTTGTACATGTGATGCACTATCTTCATGGGGATACCAGCATTTCTGGAGCAGAAGAAATAGTATGTTTTGGCAAGATTGTGTTATATTAGAAGACAAGAGATGACCAGAAATTCTAGTGGATGAAGCATATCTTCATAGACCTGTGTTAGGAGCTCACACTGACACTGGCACCACAGTACATGATTGAGGGACAGTACAGATTCATGTTGCTGAATGAGCCATCTAAAAGCTGGAGAGCTCAGCCTGCTACCTTTTGGTGTTGGCAAGTGAACTCTCAGTCTCATAGTGGTGGTGATGGCGTAGAGATGCTACTCATGGAGTGGGATATGGGCATGTGAACATGTCTAAAGTAGGAGCTGCACTACAGGGAATGAGATTCTTGAACCATGTCACATCCTTAGAGTTTACGTTCCTGAAGGAGCCAGTAAGCATGCTACATGTAAGTGGCAAACATTCTCTGATCATGCAACTCTTGGCGGTCAACAGGGGCCAATTCATCAATATTCATGTGGGAAGTCCTGGCAAGGTGCAAAATGCCAGAGTTCTGAGAAAATCTGTTTGTTACATGCTTGGAGAAGCTTAGACTTTATTCCTACCCAATGGTGGCATTAGAGTGATGATGTAGCCATGATGGTCCAGAAGTGACATGAATGGCTAGGATTCCTGTGGGATGATACCTTTTATTGGATCAACTGCATGGTTGGAACAAATTTAGACAAACTTTTAAATGCAAGACATTCTTCATCAGGTCAGAATAATGAAGAATGTCTTGCATTTGAAAGTTTAACTTTACTCTAACTATGCAGTTGGCCCAGTAAAAGATATTACACCAGAAATCCTTCCCACCTATTGGCACTGGAAACACCATAGTATGGTACATAAGATATTGTTTCACTTTTAGCTGTTGCTGAAAGGATCTAGTTGGATCCTGGACACCAACAGATTCTTTGGTACAGCTACATTACCCCCATAAGCCATGTTGTCCCAAAGATGAAGAGATGCTATAGGTCCTCACATCCATGCACACACACAAGTTTTAATAAGTAATTGATTACTAATACTCATGCTGTTTTGCAGCTTGCAAAATACCACAGGTCATGTGGTATTGATACTTGGATATTTTTGAAGTGCTAATTTAGCTGTTTTCCTTAAACTCTTCGGACAAAGGGGTTGCTAATCAGCATGGGATATTGTTTTGCCTTATTAATTTTATGTAATGCATTGGGTAACTGCTTATTCAAATGAAAAATAAAATATTATTTAAAAAATGTAACTCTCTGCCTGCTTATTTTGGGACATAGGGTGCCATTTAGTTGGCTCGTGGGGAATACCTGCTGTTTTTACATGGTCTAATAAAATCTTTGGCATAGCTGCAGTTTCTCTTCCCTTACAATTAAGTGGACAAGTGCTTAGCACAAACCACAGAATCTTATTCAATTTAGAGGTCTCTCCAAGGACAAATTTCAGACCACAGTCTGTTCATTTGACCGCTAACAAGAAGTAACTGCTTTTTAACTACTGAACAGAGCCAATTTTGGAAACTAATATGTGAAAAATTATGATCCGATTCAGCCTTGCAGGAGTGGAGCATCTGCTGCATGTAGTAACTCTCTTGTCTTTTACTCCTCCTCTTCTTGTTCTACATGGCTGACAGGAAAAAAAGGGATTGTTAGTACCTTGGCATTGTAGAAGCTATCTCCCAGGCTGGGGTGGGTCCAGAAAGGATGCAGTGGGACAGTCACGTCCCATTTTGGCTGGATGTCACATGAGTTGTCAGTGCAGGATCTGGCTGGAGCCCCTGTTTTTGCATGGCTTCAATGCCCAGGGGGTAAGTGCTACTGCCACCATATCACCTCCTTTCCCCTGCTGCTGAATTCAGCGATGAGGGGGGTAGGGAAGGGAAAAGGCCAACAGCAGCATCAGTGTCTCACCCTGACCAGCTCATGAGCTCAGAGCTACTGGTCATGCCAAGCTCCAGCAGGAGCCCATGCTGGGCAATGAGCTCAGAGCTCACTGTACGTGTAGCACAACCAAAGTGGTGGTGGGCTTGCCCTGTTCCTGGGTCTGCTACTGTTATCAGGGAACTATCAACAGCTTCAGATCATAATCTGTGGCAGGGCATTGCAGATAATGGAGGAACAAAGAGTAGCAGAATTCCCTGTTCCTTATTATTAAGCTCTTATGGAGGGGACCTGTTTGCTGCAAGAAGCTGTGCACTTGGGCATGCACTGCAGATTACATGGAAACCTACCTTTACATAGAGACTAGTGCTTGCTGAGAAGCCTTCACAGTTAGTTACCTGCCCAGGTCTTGTGGATGTTGAGACCTAAGACTGTTTTGAAGAAGCTTTCCTTGAGTTCCAGTTCCAGCTTCTTTTCCATAGTTTCCCATTTAAGGAATTTGTCCAGGTTCCTCTGCTCCTACTCCTGCTGTGTCTACAGGAGTTCCTTTATGTTGGTGCTCATGGGAATGTGTAGATGAAATGAGGGGCATGGGTGCATGACACTTTAAAGCGGGTTAAATGCTTTTGCACCGCTTTAATGGCGTTGGTGCTTGCACGCATTGGCGGCGTATTGCGCATGAATTCCAGCTGCTGTAACACATTCGGTGGAGTAATACGCCTTAAATGACTTTGGGGTGCAGCAAACTAAAACATCTCTGAGGAGTGGCTCAGGGGCTGTGCAGGTAGCCTGGCATCAGCTTGGGAAGGCAGGCTCCACTGAAACAAAAAAGAAGCAGCGAGCCTGATCCCCCCTGAGCATGTCTGCCTACCTGAGCTGTGCGGGGACCTGGTCCTTCCTTCCATGGCTGCGGTGTCCCCTGGGACCACCGAAGCTGGGTACCTGTGGGTGGGTGCTGCCTGGGGGGGGGAAGGGGGCGCTGCTGCTATGGAGGGAAACACCAGCTCCCACTGTAGGCCAGGGACCACTTTGCCTGCTGCCATCTCACCCTCCACTCTGCCGCCGGAGAGGCAGGTAAGACATGGGTGTACACAACACGAGGGTTTACTTCGCCCTAAATTGAAGTGGCGTTTTTAAAAACCCACTGCTTCAAGTTAGGGCGAAGTAAACCCCCGTTTTGTCTACACACGCCACGCTGTCATTGTCTACAGATTGCTTTCTAATAGCTTCCTCAGCAGTAACACCTGCGGGCTCAGGTTCCTGGGGGGATGGGTCTTCCCTTTCAGATAACAAAATACCTGCAAAGGAAGTGAAAGTGCATCTTTTTGGATTTGTAAGAAATACATTTTCTCTGCATTACTTCTGTAAGATTAAGCCATGATTTGCAACTTACTTAAATCATCTTGGTATGTCACCCCTTTTCATTGGCAGGCTTCGCCATTCAGAGGTATCAGGTGAAAAGCTAGCAAGAAAACTACTTGTCATAATGTATTCAAAAACATATCACAGACTGGGTTCACATTCCAGTAAAGAACTATCCTTGCTCCTTACTCAGTTAGCTTAATGTATCTGGCTTTAGGACTTGCGTGAAGTGAATGCTCAGCCTAAGTCTCATGCAACTTTTCTCTTTCACTGCAGATGTGGACGAATGTGCTGAAAACATTTGTGCTCAAATGTGTGTAAATTACAAAGGAAGCTATGCCTGCCATTGTGATGGTCATAAAGGGTTCAAGCTCTCTCAAGACATGAAGACTTGTGAGGTAAAACTGCCTGAGAGGTAAAAGTTGTGAGGCAAGTCTCACTGTGAGGCCACAGAAGTGGTGGTTTCTTGATCACAGGATGAACTAGATTAGAAAAAATACTAAGATAATTCATGCCAATTTCAGAATGCTGGCAAAACACTGGAGGCAGCGGCATTGTGGCATCATTCCACAAAGCAGACACAGCAATTAAGCTCATGAGTATTTCAACAGAATTTGGGCCATGCAGGGCACTTGCCTCAGCTTCCTCCAACCCCACTCTCCCAAAATGACCCCAAATCCCTTTTCTAAAGGAAGAAAGTAGGCCCTTTTTGGTTTAGGCATCCCTAGGGGTTGGAATTATGGTTTGGAAAATGGTATCGCACATTTTCAAGGTGTTTTCTTGCTGTGAGAACCTCTTCCTACCCAGTCCCACAGAATGACTTCAGACTTGAGCTGAGCTTGAGTGGTATGAGTTGACTGTTTTGTCTGGTCCCAGTTTCTATAGCTGTAGAAGAAAGTACTAAGTGTTGACCATGTGGTTTCACCAAATGCTGAAAACTCAATTCACTTCCAAAATAAGCTATTTTTAGGAAACAAAAGAATTTTAAGATTTATACTTGTTAGTGCCAGAAACAGCAGGACTGTAGAACATTTCAGCAGAAACCTTTCTTTGTTAATTGTTTTCTTTATATTATTTTGGCAGGAGCTGGGCAGGTTGAGACTTGTAAGGGTGTTCAAACAGCTTCCCTCCAAAACAGTTGTTGACACCATAGGAAGTAGAGGGGCTTAAATATTTCCAGATCAAAGCCTGATATTGTATCAGCACATATTTACCAGAACTTGTTTTGTACTTACTACAATTTAATACTTAGGCAACATGGGGAGCAAAGCCATTTCCTGTTGATAATAAAGTGGGAAGTCTGTCCTTGGTTTCTCTATAAAGCATGACTCCTATTGCTGTGTGTGAGAAGTTTATTAGCCCTCATGAAGAGATGCATGAACAGAAAGGGCATCTATACACGTGGTCTGAGGTGGAGGGGGGCACTTTAATTAGAGCGATTCCAGGAGCTGCTCTAATTAAAGCTCCCACAGTGTCACATGTATTCAGCATCCTGCACTTGAAAATCGCAGCAGGGTGCGCTTGAACTAACATGAATCAGCACGTGTTGGAGCAGATATCTGGCATGTGTAATGGTGCCCAAAGAGTCTGAGCCAATATTTACAAGCTAGTGGCAGGTATTTTCAACTGGAATCCAAATATCCAATATATAATTCATCATTTAAGGGCAGACTTCTTATGCTACTTTAATTCAGGAATAACTCCGTTATAGTCAGTGGAATGACTATCATGAACATGGTGTAAGATCAAGACATTTTAAGAAATGGAACTTTAACAAGTCAGAATATCTAAATGCAACATGTCTGATGTGTACTGTAGCATAGGGGTGACAGAGATAGCCCACAGATTGCATCTGGCCAGTGGTACCTCATCATTTGGCTCCTGCTGCTGGCCCTGGGTCTCAAGTTGACCCATATGACACACACAGCACACACTGGACTGGCCTGATGTGCAGGACTGAGGATAAGTGCTGCACATGGCTCCCACTCTGGATTCTGTACTGTATACGGCACCTGTCCTGGCCACTCTGGCACTCCCCTCATCATGCTGGATCCAAAACCCATGGCTGGGTCCACTGTGCCACACATGGGGCCTGCTCTGGCCAGTCTGGAGCAAGTGTTGCATGCAGGGCAGCTCCCAGACTGGCTGGAGTGGGCACCACATGCAGTGCAGTCCTGGACTAACCGGAGTAGGCACTATGGGTACTGTATCCAGCATAGGAGAGAGAGGAATCCACGGGCCCAATCTGGCCTGTGGGGTAAGCCCCATGCCATTCATCCAGCCCACAGAGCTAGATGAGTTTGATACCCCTGCTGTAGCACATTGCAGCTGCTGGTTCTGCCACAGCTGTGTGGGACTTAGGCCCCTGCCACACGTTACACCTAAGGCATGATTAACCAACTAATTACATCTTAAGTTGTAACCCAGCCACATGTTAAAGGAATTTATGGCATCATAAAACAAGGAATAAGCCACAAAGTTATTATACAAAAAATGTGTAGTAACTTTGTGACTGGCTCCTGTGACACCATTAATTGAATGTGTGACCGGGTGTGGCCCCACACCTGGGAGCCCGGATCAGCTAACAGGGATCCACTGTGAGAGCTTGCTACATGCTGGTGCAGGGGGAGCCTGGGATTATGATCCCTGGCTCCACTTGCACTGGCAGTAAGGCTTAATGGGATCTGATGTGTGATCCCACAATCATGGCTCCTGCCATACACATGTGGATCACACATCAAATCCCATTGCACCTTTACCTGCACATCTGGCAGGGACCTTAGTCTACTATGTGATGGAAAAGAAGAGGTTTGGTCCCAAAATAAAACTTCTGATTATCCTTTTACATCTAATACTAATTGTGACATGACAAGAGACAGAAAAGCAGCAGTGCATATTGGATAGCAGAAATCTGTTCATAACATCCTATCTATTTAAACTGATGTCACTCAAAATATTACATTGTTTTTGAATACTAGGATCATCACTCCTGAATTACAGAAACCATTCATAAATCGCATACACAGTAATACTTTGCAGCAGTGTAGCCCAGAAAATAAATAACCTCCCTTAATTAAGGCAGCAGGGAATTTCTGTAGGTAGAATGTAAATACTGGTACCGAACTCTGATTTTAACCAGGACACCAGCCACAATTTTATAGTCATGGAATCATTCATTGCCACAAGTGGTTATGACTTCAGTTTTACATCTGTCCCGAGAAGATTCCTTTTTACAAGCATTAACACTGTGCTTGTATATTGATTCACTTTGACCTCCAAGGAAAGCATGCTTCTTATTGAACCAACCCCCCTCTCTAACATTGTAGGTGTTTTAGAGTTCATGCACCCCAAGCTCAATACAACCATGTGTCTTAGTATAAATTATGTGCTAGAATCCTAGTGAGAGAAAGGAAGTGCTCTGGTTTTAGACTGGAGGCCTACTCCTGATTTGCATGGCCAGCCTTTGTATCTGAGTTTGCCTCTATTAAAAACTGTGTCACAACCTGCCCATATTTTCCCATGTATAAGAGACATAGAAAGGAGGTCTAAATGTAAGATGCACCTTACTGAAGCTACAGAATTGAAATCAGATATCAGTAACTTGAAGTCAGCCTCCAAGGTGCCAATAAAGCCTGGAGATGCTGGTGACAGTCAGCAAATTTAGCTCAGGCAAAAAGGGTATTGCAGGAGGCTGTAGCAGTACCTGTTTTCACATTTTGGATCCTACCAATGCATGCCAAAGTCTGGAACTCATTGTGTCATCATGTTCCTTCAGGGAGTTACCGGGCAAAGGGGAGGGATGGGAAGCAGAGAGGGCTGTTGTGGCCCTACCTACCTTTTGCCCTACTCCCCTCTGGCAGTCACCATCCCCCATTGGTCCACCCATCTGAGAAATGCTGAGCTGCAGCTCCTGCTTCTTCCTTCCTTGCAGCCAAAGGAAACTATCTTTGTGGAAGCAGGACCCTCACATCAACACCATCTTCTTGTCCTCTGGTTCCATGCCACCCTGTCCAGCTCAGGAACACTCTTTTCTCTATCAGATGCAGTGAAGGCATACACAATCTATACTCCAGCAAGACCTACCAAAGGCCCCCTCTGCTTGATCATATTCAGTAATTAATTTTTTTCAGAACAGCAACAACATAGTTTAATTTGTTTTGAGGCATCACATTTTTTAAGTGCAATAGTGATTAGTTATGAAAAATGAATTATTCAAAAATGAAACTTGCTAAAATCAACAAGAACTAGAGTTCTTTTGTGATATATCACTGTAGAAAATTAGAGCATGCTGTTTTCCCTTTACCCATTATTTCCAGGCTGTTCCAGTTTGCCTCCCGCTGAACCTTGAGCCGAATTATCAGTTGCTTTACCTGGCAGAGCAAACAACAGAAAATGCTGTTCTGCATTTAAGGTTTAAATTGCCAAATGCCAGCAGGTGAGCCTTTGCCAACAATAAAAGTATGCATGAAAGTTACGGACATTTGTTTCCATAAAGTTTTCAGAGGGTGACAGAAATGTTCAGCATTGAATGCGTAATTCTTACCATCATCTCCTCAGGACCAGATAAGACATCTTTATAGCATAGAGAATGACTGAATTGATATCACTGGCACTTAGTGGAACTGAAGTCATTTGAAATGACAGGAAGAGTAATTGCCTGGAGTCAGTTTACAGCATCACTTACTGATCATACTGTACCCCTAAGCCAGTCTTTTAATATAGGGAGACCAGCAAATTCCTAATATAGTATGACTGAGACACCTTTTATCTAGATACTTATCAGCTAAATGAACTGTTAAAGAGCACTTTCTATCGGACAAGAGGCAGTAGCAGCTGACTAGTGCAGAACTGCAGTCAGTCGGTGAGCAGGGAACCCCTTGGTGTGGGCTGTGTGCACCACACTGCACTAGAGTCTTGATGTGAGCATATCACCATGTTTACCCAAGTCCAAGAGAACCCTGAATTTAAGATGACTCCCCAGTTATTAGATTCTAGATATGGAAAATTATAAATCTGTTTTAAGTTTCCATGTATAGAGTTATTGGAGGTTCCTCTTAAATTCTTCCCCCCCCCCCCTGCCACAGGGAAAGTAGTGACAAGGGAGCTCTCATCTCTTATGAGAGGGCTCACCCCCCCCCCACCCGAGCTCCCCCGTAATTCGAACCCTGCTTGTCACCCTCTACTGCCTGCCCTTCCCCCTCCCTTTACCTTTGCAGCTGCTCCAGCTTTGTCTCCACCAGGAGCATAGAGCACCCCACTGGTCTAGGCAGTAGTGGCATCTCCAGGCTCCAGGCTGGGTCAAGGCCACTGCAGTATCTCCTGTCACCACTCTGCGCTCCTTCTCCGAGTTCCCTCCTGCTGCCCTTTTTCCATACTCCCCCTGCACTTTGTGCCCCTTCCCTGCACCTCTTTCCGGTGCTCCCCTCACTCCATGTGTCCTTTTCCCCAAATTTCCCCCATGTCCTCATCACTCCATGTGTCCCTTCCCCCATGCCCCCCTGCTGTCCTTTCTTCCATGCTCCCCTCCCTGCACTGCAGCCCCCTTCCCCATGCTCCTCCTTGAAATGCTAGCCCCCTTCCCTCGCACTCCCCTGCACCATGTGCCTCCTTCCCCTGCACCGTCCCCCCATTCCACATACCCCTTGCCTGCCACATGAACCACCCTGGTCCATTCTAGACCTACAGCAGCTGCTTGCCATACTTGAATCTAAAACAAGGGATTTTTTTTAGCCCATGTTGAATGGGGGGGAGGAGGGGGATGGTTGTCTTAGATTTAAGTGAATGTGGTATATTCCTTCAGCACCGAGACAAGATCCAACCCTGAATGAAAAGTATTATATCTGGAGTGGTTTTGCTACACTTGTATTGCTATGGGACCATGCACATGTAACAGTTAGAGCATGACAAGTGATACACATTAGCTTGGTGCTGTATCCAAGGTAGTATCCCTGCACCTTTGAGTCCTGTGCTTCAGATACTGTGCTCTATAGATATACCCCAACAGAAGCTTGCTGCCCACTCTGTAAGGAAGAGAAAGACCTTGTAGGGGAAAAAGTAGCAGATGTAGAAAAAAGATACTAATGGGCCAGTCTTGCATCTGACTCAAATTCTGCCCTGAAGAACCCCAACCACGAGTTCTATACTTGTAAGGCTCTAAACACTGCCTTCAGCAGGCGAAATTTAAATAAGCTTATTTCTAAAGTGCTGCAATTCCTTTTTTAGTCAAAGACCTAGGAAAAAGTCCGATGATTTCATAGCAAATAAAGCAAGATAGAGATTAAAGTTCTTTATCACAATGCTTTGGTCTTGGATGATGCTTCTGCTATTCTTAGCTAGAGACTGCAAATTATAGCATGCTGTACACAAACGATTGAAAAAGTTAATTGTCCCTCAAAATGTTCTAATACACTAGTGAAGTATAATAACTTGTTTCAATTCCATATCAGCTTGTAGTATTTACTCTTCACTTGTCAGCATCCTAGAGCAATTACTAATATTAGTGACCTCTTTATTATGCTAGAACTTCTTAAGGGTGGAAGCTGAAAATACGGTGTTCTCTCTGACTTGCAGGTTCAGCAATTTCAAAGACAGCAATAAGAGAAGTGGTTAAATTCTTGGTTTTTAATTCCTCAGAATCTTTAGAAAAAACATAAGTATTGACATACCTGTATTGAAATACTGTCTATCCTTGTGTTCTGAATCAATGTTGACCTGGATTTAATTTCTCCTGGAAGATTTTAAGGCACTTCCAGACCTTGGCAAAGGTCATAGATAGTTATCTATAGATTTCAAATAAGAAGATTCTTTAGGACTGTATTTGAAAGTCAGTGTAATCTTGACAATAAAGAACTGGATATGGAGTTAGGGCAGCAATTCTCTTTCTTATTCTAGTGTTAGAGTGATTTTGTAGCCATGATGGTCTAGGAATTTTGCAAGAGGCAAGGATTTCTTAGGGTGATATATTTTATTGGACCATCTGCATAGTTGGGGTAAAGTCTATGCTGTGTAGGGGTGTGTGAAACGGGCAGTATTACCCGGAAGTGGACTGGAAGTGCTTCTGGTCTACTTCTGGGTTTGCTGCCGAGCATGCTGGAGACGCCCCGGTGCTCCGGTGGGTCGCTTTATCCGCCCCAGCATCGCAGCATTCACGAGTTGCCTGCTACCTTGAGGTATGTAGAAAAAACATTTAAAGCTGTATTTATGTCCGAATTGCTGAATCTTTCCGAATCTCTCTCAATTGATTCGGAAGGTTCCGATTCGAGTCGGAGAGATTAAAGGGTCTCCTGATTTGATTTGGATTCGAAGATTCAGCCACCGAATTGGGCTGAATCTCCGCTGAATCAAATCAGTGACTGAAGCTTCACACAGCCCTAATGTGCTGACTTTTACTCCACAGACCTGATGAAGAGGGTTTTGCATTTGGAAACTTGTTTAACACTATCCCAGCTATTCAGTTGGTCCAGTAAATGATATCACCCTATATAATTGTAGCCCTTCTTATTCTGCCACTGACTTGTTATATGACTTTCACCTTGCCTCCCTGTATCTTTGTTTTCCCCTCCCACCCTTTATCTCTCCTGTTTATTTAGGTTAAAAGCTTTTGGTGATGGAGCAGCATAGGATCTCTAAGCACTGCTGTAATATATGTAATAATACTGGTACATGTTTGATCATCCAACTCTCACCCAGACAGAGAATAAATTGGCCCAGTTTTCTGAATTAAAAAAACCAAAATAAAACACATTTTCCAAGCCAATGCTAAGCACATTCATGGAGGATACTGTAGAATTTTCTCTGGACTTGCTCACTATTCTGTTGATTTTCTTCCTCTAGCACCCTTGTGAAAGTAGGAGAGTCTTAACCCTGTTTTGTAAATAGGAGAAGTGAGACAAAGTGAGTTGGTCATATGGGAAGCTCATGAGAATTGAACCCCCAAATCCTTCAAATCCAATGCCTTGAATAAAAAAATTGAACTTTTTCTCTGGATTCAGATTAACAAGTTTCCATAACTACTGGGTTGTGCCTGTGACTAACAGCCTGCAGCCATTCTACCTGCTCAAATACAGTGCCTTCTGAAGACTAATACATGTCTGTGTAACTAAGTTATTAACATATCACACTTAGTTCTTCAGTACCTCATCTGTCCTTTTCTCTTTACTGTGATTCCTCTCCCACCACTCAGATTTTCAGCAGAATTTGATTTCCGGACATATGACAACGAGGGTGTTATACTATATGCTGAATCCTCCAACAACACAGGATGGTTCTTGCTTGCACTTCGGGATGGAAAGATTGAGATTCAATTCAAGAATGAACATGGAACAAAAGTCACAAGTGGTGGCAAAGCCATTAATGATGGTGTGTGGCAAACAGTAAGTTGGCTTCTCCCCACCCTCGCCTCCAGTACAAGATTTCTGTCTGGTGTTCATACCTATGCAGTAGTGCTACTGCCTACTTCTGTAAATACATTTACCTTGACACAAGTGGATGGTAGTGCAGTTATTCTAACGCACAACTATTTTTATTCCACACTATCCAGTACAGCTTGATCAAATGAAGGCTTGTTGTGTCCTAACAAAAGAAAATCTTAAGACTTTCTTTTTCAGTGATACTTGCCTCAGGGTTTGGGGTCTCTTCTGCTCCCAGTGAAGTCAAGAGGAATTAACACAAATAGGGTCTCTTTAATAAATCTGTTACATTCAGGGAAAATACATTAAGGTTGTGAAGTCAAAGGCATCTACTCAAGACTTAAATAACAGAACTGCAGTTTAAATGGGCTTCATTCATTTTGGAATTTCCTAATTTTTGCACACTTTGAAAACTTAATAAGATACTTTTAATGTACATTTGTGTACATTTGCCTGAGTGTTATAGAAAAAACCCAAGTCGTTTTATATGAAATGGCCTCAGGTATCATCAGCAGGTTTGAACCCAGGATTTTAGAATTGCCTTTGCTACTAAGTTTATGTCTCATTGATAATTAGGGTCTTCCACAAAGCCATACCCACTAATAAAATATATTATATATGTTTTGTTTGATCTTCAGCCCAATTTTGGAAGTTGTGCCAAATTTCTAGGGATGAGATCAAATTCTCTCCCATTCATCTCATAGCCCACCTCTTCCTGCATTATGTTTGGATTCCACCTGTGCATGCAGATCTGGAGCGTAGGAAGTCTACCCAGAGCTACCCACAATTCTTTCTTCTTGTCTTCAGGTGCTTCTCACTCCACATCCTTTCCCCTCTTCTCTTAAATAGAGACAGACAAAAAAGGAGACAGGTCTGCAGAAGGATATTTTCAAAGATTTTGATTTATACATAAGTGGCACAATGTGGATGGCTTAGTGAGGGCTGCAAGGTATGATATTAACAGGCTCACATGACTTGGGTTGGCTTAGGGCAGCTTTAGGTTGATCCTAAATATTGATGAAGACATATCCTAAGGGTTTAACTACTGCTGACTGGCAGCAAATATATGCCATTTTCCTTTGTAAGCATAGAGGAAGGTGAACAACACATGGAAGAGGAGGTTACGTACCAACAAGTAATCCAGCTTACAGATACCAGGGCTGAGTAACAAAGATTTGACAGATTCTGAAAGGGTGTACAGATAAATCATGTAAATGTGTTGCATATCTGGACTCTGTTTCCATTTTGTGTAACCTTTCAGTGTAGTAGCAGGTGCTGCTTGAGTGAAAGGGTTTTGAAGGGCCAGAATAATCAAAACTACACAGTAGAACTTGCATGCCTGGTGTTCACTGGGTCTTGGTTTCCATGCCATACATTTTTCTTCCCTAGAACAAAGGATAATGTGATGGGAAGTGTCTGTGATAACAGAAGAAAAGGACCACTTTCAGTATAGACAGAATATTGGGCAATTTGAGAAGCAAGCTCTTAGCAAAGCCTTTTAAGTGCAGTACAAACTAAAAAACTGTGATTTTCTATAGCTCTTATTTCAATGAACAGTGAACAGGTTTTCTGAAAGAAAGCAAAAGACAGCTCCTTTCCCTTAGAAATGTCTCTGTTTCAAATTTTAAAGACCTACTGCAAGTCATGAACACACTAGAATGAATTTAAACAGTGTTATTTTTTAATAAACTATATTAAGTAATCTCCAACCATATATGGATGTATATTTATTTTTAATCCTAGATCTCAGTGGAAGAACTAGAACACAGTATCTGTGTTAAAATAGCAAGGGAAGCAGTGATGAGTATTAAGAGCCCTGGGAATCTTTTTAAACAAATAAATGGTTCACTGGAAATCAAGGTGTATGTTGCAGGGTTACCTCCCAAAGTGGGCAACACCCTCATTAAGCAGGTAACTAGAAAATAATAATTATGCCTATTAATATTATTGTTTGTTTCTCCAAATAATGTGTTTACCAACTGGGGACACAAAACAAAGGGAGGAATGTATGTATAAAATGAAAAAAGGTATATTGATTGTTTTACTTTGAAAATGAGTATGCATCAACACTTTGTACTCACTTTGCACTGGGCACATTGTTAGGGTTTCATTATAGAATCACAGTAGTGAACTCCCTCTTGTGTTATCTGATGTATGCAGGGTTGGAGGGGGGCGGGAAGGCAGGGGTAGTGCAGGATTATAACCTATATATTTTTTAAATCTAGAGTCCTGAAGTAACAGGACCACTTATGCATTTTACAGATGTTCCCTCTCTTGCTAGTAAATTGGCTCAGTCTGCGTATGTGTGCAAGAGTGAAGAAAGCACAGAGATATTTTACTTTTGCTCTGCCCATGCCCTATCCAACCCAGCTTGTAGCAGGGGGGTGAGGCATGGTTCCCTCATCTCTCCCTTCTCAAGAGCTCAAACTTATTCTGGGTGCACCAGCTCCTTGCTGCTCATCCCACAGCCCAGCAGTCACAAGCTTGGCAGAAAAGCAATAAGTGAATGGGCTCTGGAATCCAAGCTTTGCTTTTGTCCCAAGAAGAGAAAAGCCTCCATTGCCCATATTGTATCTCTCCTTCATATCTGGAGTTTCTATCCAGGATCTTGCAAATCAATGCTAAAGAATAATTTCCATTTAAAAACCTGCCACCAATCCACTAAAATAAGATAGATGCCAATATTTGAATCTCTTTTTAAAGTCCATTTTTGCTCTAAGTGGGAAAGGGAAAGGAAAAAAGGTAAAGCTACACAACATTTAAAAGCTTCTCTGTAAATGGCCTTTCACCTAATGTGAAATGTTCCTAGAAATATTTGGGTTCAGTATCAGTGTTATAAACCTATACCATCAATATGGCTATGGTTGACTGTCTGTCAATAAATATGTTGTTATGTAAAGTAACTCACACTCCATTGATTAACACTGTTTCTAGAACAAATCTGAATGCAACACACACTACTATAACTCTTCTGCAGATTAACCCTCGCGTAGATGGGTGTGCTCGGGCCTTGAATCTGATGAGTCAGGGACATTTAGGCTTAACAGAAGTTATTAAAAAAACACAAATCAAACGCTGTTTACCATCTGTGGGGAAAGGATCCTACTACCCTGGCACTGGAGTGGCAAAGTTTCATATAAACTATAGTAAGTATTTTTCAGCCTTTTGCAACACGTCTTTAAGCTGAACTAATGTATCAGAACAGAAGAGAGTGATGAGCTCAGTCACATGCTCTTGATTTGAACAAGTACCCCACTAACTTAAGTAGGAGGATAGCTTTCAGTCCCATGCATCTCAGCTTAATTTCTCAAGCAGGGACACTCGCAAGGGGTGGAGAGGATTAAACAGATTCTTTCCATCTGTCTCTGCTCCAGGTTTGTCAATGTGAGTAGTTCGAACTATGAAAGAGAACCATACAAAATTACTTTAGAGAAAGGTACAGTTAGGAGATGATTATGATTTAAGTAGCATGATGTAGCATTAATGTAACATTTTAAAACAGGTAGTTCTTGTATTCAAGTATGCCATCCCTGAGCAAACAAAAACATGGGAACATAGAGCAGAATGCCATTTCCCTTTGTTCAGCTAAATGGTAGTTTTCTAACTGCATAAATGGTGTTTTTGGCACATACACAAAAGTTGCCATGTTGTTATCCCTGCACTGTGGGCACAAAGGCATATACTAACCCTGTGCAGTTGGCTATGCATTTGATGGGAATGTATGCCTCTCCATTCTAGATGCATGTCAGGAAAATGTAACCGCTTAGAAATCCATGACTAATGGGTGTTAGATGCAACAGAATCCTCCTGTGATTCAGCCTCAGCACCTGAGTGGTTAGGGCACTTGCCTAGGAAATGGGAGATTCAGGTTTTAGGCCTGCTTGCCCAGAGTGGGTTTTAACCTGTTTCTCTCAGACTTCCCAGGACAGTGCTCTAGCCATTTCACTGCAGCTCAGCCAGTATCCAGCCCCCGCTTCTCCTGTGCTGCTTTTGAATCTGGCTCCTGACCTGGGCAGCCAAGAGGGGAAGGTGTGGGGCCAGGTAGAAGAGGATAAGCTAGAGAGTGTGTGACTCAGTGACATGTCTGCTGCCCCTGAATCGGAGAGGGCCCTGGACTGCTCTACTGCACTGCTCTCCATCTGTGCTTGTCCAGCCAGTATGTTGTTTGCTGTACATGGTCAGTCTTCATGCAAGGGTTTTCATGTCCCCAATACAGGGGTAAGTGCCAAAAGTCCCAAGTTAGAAAACTGGCATGTAGGTGCACAAAGGGAAATAGAATTTTGCCCTATACAGTGCTGTGAAAGACCTCCTGGGTTATTAAGTCCAGCTCCATATTATCACAGGAAGCACACCATAATCTCTTTCATATGCTGATCAACCTCCATTTTAAAACAAATACAGTAGTTGTTATGTTTGGCCCACTCACATCTGCTGGTAGGCTGTTCCAGAACCTCACTTCTCCGATGGTTAGAAATCCCCTTTAGATTTTTCATGTAAATGCATTCTTGGGGGTTTGTACCAACACTGTCCTAGCTTGAATGCATCAAAATTAAACACCAGCATACTACTCAAGCAAGTAGTATCCATTGAATAGCAGGGCTACTTGGGTGTGCAATTTTAAAATGCGTAAGTTTGAGTTATTGATGTTTTGCATGGTAGCCAAGTTTTATGAGTGAACTATCAGTTTTTCCAGGTTTTTCCTTTTTGGCTTCTGGAATGCCTCTTTTTATTTCTGCCACCTCTCCCTATATAAAGGTGAGCTTTGTCTTACTATTGTCTCACTCCCCCCACCCCAATACTGTATATTGTATTCTCATACATATACGTGCGTGCATGTAAGTAGTAAGACAAAGTTCACCTTTTCATTGCAGATTAAGCTTATTTTTCATAGTGGGGTTATAGATTAAAGAGAGGAACAATGCTAATAAAAAATAATAGCATTGGTTGATGAATAAGGATATTTTCACAATTCATTAATTTGCTCTTTTTTTTTCTAAAACCAGACAATGATACTAACACTGGAGAGTGGGTTATAAATGTAGCCCTGAACATTCGCCCATCCAAAGGCACTGGGGTCATGTTTGCCTTGGTTTCTGGTGAATCAGTGCCTCTTGCTTTGTCTATCGTGGACTCCAGCTCCTCCAACTCACAGGTGATCTTAGAAGTTATCAAAACAACTTTGGGCTAGAGATCCATCTCCTAAAAAGTCAACATAATGAAAGAGAATCCCTTCCTTGATTCTCTGCCTGCCAGTTAGGTCTAACAGTCATTATTCAAAATAATAGGGGTGTTGCAAAGCTGTTTCAGTTGTTTCTGAAGTGCTCAAAGAGTTCAGAACACATAGACAGCATTAAAAAGATATTATTATTAATCCTTATTAAGCAGCAATTAGAGGAGTGCTAAAGAGTCAACCAAGAATGCTACCCCATTTATTAAGTGTCATACAGTAGGCTGTATTTGCCCTAAGGAGCTTATACTCTATATAGACAGGGAAGACACAAGGAGGGAGAAAGAAGGGGTACAACACACAAGCAAAGCGAATGATATGATGATGTTAGCACATGTCCTATTAATTCCAGCTGGTCTTGCTGTCCTTGAATTTCCTGGTGTTCCTGCCTACAGGAAGGAACACATGACAAGACAGTGCATGGTTTCATGTGCCTTCAAGCAATCCATTTTTTGTTTGTTTCTTGTAACTACCTAAATTAGGGAACAAAGAATGATATTCTGCCTGCATTGAAAACAATGGAAAAAACTTCAACTTCAGTGGGGCCAGGATTTCCTTCCAGAAATGTTAAAGTAGATTGTCAGATATAAAAATATACAAGTGGCAGCAACAGACCTCCAGCATCTATTTTGAAAAATCTTGGTCCCCATATTTCCTATAATTTTTACTTCGTAACACAAAAGGCCCCAAAACTAAATGAAATACATGCCAGGATTGTATGTGAAGTATTTTGTATTCTGCCACACAGGCCATCATTGTGACTATTGGGAATATCATTATTGCCCGGCTGGAATCGAAGAGATTTTGCACTACCAGAAGGACACTGGTAGGATTCAGTGCAAGCAAACAGCAGATTGAACTGTCCGTTGATTCACAAACAGATGTAACGAATTCAGAGCAAGAGCTGTCTATCCTGGATCAAGCAATGAGAGGAACTGTTGCTGTTTACACCTACTTAGGTGGTCTTCCAGGTGAATTTCATTTCTTAACATCAGTTGGAATGAATTGGTTTTACTTGGCCTTCCCAGCTTAAAAAACCCTACTTTTTTACTTTGTATTTGAGAGTCAGTCTGTAAAGCTTTTGTTTTAATGGAGACTGACACTTCAATAGCAGCATTAGTGGGCCAGCTTTATGGCGCAGCAGAAGTTTCTTCCCCAAGGCCTAATTTTGGAAGCAACCCTCTGGCACCTATCCCTGTGAAAAGATAAATGATTGTTTAGCACTCCTGAAGTGACATCAGCTGGCAGGCTCAAGGAACTGCAGCGGCTTTAGAAAGAGTCAAAATAACCCAAAATGAGGAGGCTAAACTATTGCTAGTAAAGCTTTTTGATATCCCCTATTTAAAGTCACTACAAGGAGCAGAGAAAATCTTAGCTTTTTAAGACCTAGAAGTCTGACAAACAGCTTTGAATGGATTTCTATCTAGAATGTGCAAAATCTAGCCCCTTCCTCCCTGGTTTTAGCACAGTTCTTGTGCCTGAGTGGAGAAAGTGGGGGCCATGCTCTTCATGTGGCATGAAGACTAGCTGTTCATGGGTTCCCTGCAAGGCAATGAAGAGTGGTCAGGTGGGGCCAGAGGATCTAGTGCTGCCTCCTATTGACTAGTTCAACTAACCTACCTAAGGAGGCAGATATGCACTATAGATGGTATTTCAGCCTCAGGGCTTCATTGTAAGCCCCTTCTGCAACCTGGATGTGTGTGGGGGAAATGAGAAAGCAATCTGTTCTCCACTGGCCATTCTCAAGGATGTATCACATATACATCCTGATAATTAGGCTAGAAATATAATATAGGATTTAGGCATAAAAGGACTGAGGCATTTGTCACAAGTAGAGAGTAAGGCATTTGTCTTGACTTTGGAATGGGCTTGTGATGCCTTGGAAATCAAACACACTTACCAGCAACACAGCAGATGGGTTTTATTCAAGTTGATGTTTAGTGAAGTCAAATCCAAGGCTACAGAATGGGATGTGCCACCTGGCCCATGGCCCAACCAACATTTAGCACAGTGGTTCAAACATAGCCCCACTCCCTGCCTCCTTCCCTCCCTCACGCAGAGTGGTAGCCATGCTCTGCTGCCCGCAGCCCTGCCAGGAGGGAAGAGTGGCAGCCTCCTGTAACCAGTGTGTCAGGCCCTGCTCCAGCGCATTGGCGCATTGGCTATGGGTGGCAGACTGCAGCTGCCACTGTGCATGGAAGGGATGGAGGCAGAAAGGGAGCGGGGCTGTGTTTGAATCGCTGTGCTAAATGTTGGTCAGGCCATGGCCTGGGTGGCCCACCCCTTTTGGCGGTCTCTGGGTCAAATGCTTCAGTAAAAGTTGTTGCTGTGAGCTTTACTTGCGATTACAGTATGCAGCTCTACATGAAGAGGTAAAACCAATACTTATAAATAAATAAAGATCAACAGAGAATTATACTAAATGCTAAACAAGAAATTAGCACCTAAAAGCCTTTTTTGAAGAAAGATACTGATGAACTAAGTAATGTTTCTTAGTAATCATCTAAGTAATGTTTAAAATAGTTCTTACACTTTGCCTGTGTGCTAGTCTTCAAAATTAGATGTTGATTTAAATCACATATTTCTATTGGCTTTTGAGCCTGTATTATCCTTCACTGCTTCCCCTACTTTGTAAAACTGAAAAATTGTACTAGGTATTGCCATGCTTTGGGAAATCGTACAGTTATTAGCAATAAAAAAGCAGCATCTGGCAGCTTTTTCCACACAGTGGTCTCAATGTTTCTGCCCTTCTTCCCCATGTTCTTAAGGTACCAGTAATATCCTGTTCTGAAAAATACAGATTTAAACTGTTTTCAGCTACAATATGGTAGTAAACATTGGGAAATGCTAATTTATTTACAACTCCTTTGAGCTGATCCCTGAAAAGGTTTTTGGGAACACGGGGAAACCTTGTACTAGCAGAAATCAGATGAAGAACATAAAATTATAAAGTTCAAAGTATGTTTAATGAAAATATAGATGTTCTGAAGTAAACAAGCTGGCTTCTCATTACCAGTAGTTTATTTATAGCTTTCACAAAAATGATATAGTAGAATTAACAAGGAAAGTATATATTATATAACAGTAAGATTAAATGATTTGTGGTTATTGGTAAAAGCATATAATAAAATGACAGACAAGGTTCCTTGGGTGAATCTGATATCTTTTATTAGACCAACCCAAATAGTTGGAGAATAGTTATTAAGCAAGCTTTCGGGTTCAAAAACCCTTCGTCAGGCCAAGGAAGTTTCAGCAGTTGGTGTGTGCTCTTCCTGGATGGAATGAAAAGTAAAGAAGCCAGCGGCTGGGCTGGGGAGTCAGTTGTCAGGCAGATTATAATGTGTCAAAAATCCAATGTCTATATTTAGTCCATGATTTTTAGTATCCAGGAGGTTGATGAAATGGAGTTCATAGGCTCGTCTCTGGAAAGTGTTGTGTAAGTTTCCTTTGAGGATCAGGACTGAGAGATTGGAGAGAGAGTGGTTTTCTTGTGAGAAATGTACCCCACAGGTAATTGGGTATTTCTGTCTTTGATAGATTTCCGGTGTGCATTCACTCTGGTGCTCAGTTGTTGATTGGTCTCTCCTACATATTTTCCATCAGGGCATTTGGTGCATTGGATGAGGTATATTACATTTCTGGAGGTGCAGCTGTACGATCCAGGGATGCTGATGGCTCTGTCGTGGGGTGTAGTAATAGTGGGGGTGATGGAGATGTGTTGGCAGGTTTTGCATTTCTTGTCCTGGCACGGTCTGGATCCTTTTGGTGTGTTCTGGGCTTGAGGAAGTTTGCTTCTGGTGATGAGGTTAACGAGGTTCGGTGCTTGTTTGAAGGCTAGGATGGGTGGCCCTGAGAAGATCTTTTTAAGAATAGGGTGATTGGTGAGGTGGCGATCCCAGGTGTTCTCTTCAGTACAGATGCGGTGGCATCCGAGGGCCTGGCTGTATATCACTGCTTTTTTGGTGTGTTTCGGGTGATTGCTGGTTCTGTGCAGATATGTATGTTGGTCTGTGGGTTTCTTGTATAATGTGGTCTGTATTGTATTATTTTGGATACTGATCATTGTGTCTAAAAAGGAGATGTTGGTGCTGGAGTATTGAAGGGATAGTCGGATGGAGGGATGGTGATTGTTGAATTTCTGATGGAACTCAATCAGAGATTGTAGGTTTTCAGTCCAAATGATGAAGATGTCATCGATGTATCTTAAGTATAGCAAGGGTTTGATGGTGCAGTTCTTGAGGAAGTCTTCTTCCAGGTGACTCATAAAAAGGTTGGCATACTGTGGGGCCATTTTAGTGCCCATAGCTGTTCCCATCATCTGGAGGAAGTGTTGATTATTAAAAGTGAAATTGTTGTGTGTGAGGATGAAGTGTATAAGGTCAGTAATATCTTTGGGTCTGTATTCTGAGTTGTAATCTTGTTCCTGTAGATATGTAAGGCAGGCTTGGATGCCATTCTGGTGTGGAAACTTACACAACGCTTCCCAGAGACGAGCCTATGAATTCCATTTCATCAGCATCCTGGATACTAAAAATCATGGACTAAATATAGACATTGGAGATATGACACATTATAATCTGCCTGACAACTGACTCCCCAGCCCAGCCTCTGGCTTCTTTACCTTTCATTCCATCCAGGAAGAGCACACACCAACTGCTGAAACTTCCTTAGCCTGACGAAGGGTTTTTGAACCCGAAAGCCTGCTTAATAACTATTCTCCAACTATTTGGGTTGATCTAATAAAAGATATCAGATTCACCCGAGGAACCTTGTCTGCCTAAATCCTTAGACCAACACGGCTACAACCTACACCCCTATAATAAAATGACACATTGTATTAATTTAAAGAAAGTTAAAACATAATATATAATGATATGTACAAATAAAGAAAACGAAGCAACTTAAAAACAGGGTAAAAAAATGAAAAACAATTATATTTGATTTTGGCCCTTATTCTTTGCGCAGGTAGTGCAAATAAACCTGCAGAGTATAGGACTGATTGTAAGAGAGGAGCCAAATTGTTTTTTCTTCATTACTCCAATATTTAAAAATTTCCCTTTAGTTTCTTCAAAGAATTAACAAGGCCCCAAATAACTGGCTTTTCTGACAGGGATACCCTTCCTGTTCCAAAGGAATATGAAGATTAATTTAAAAATTAGTTCAGTATTTTTTAATGAAATATGGGGAGTTCTACTGTGTCTACCTGTTATTCAGCAGATCAGCCATAATATAGAGAACTATTTTACCAGGACTTTTCATTTAGAGAAGAGAGAGGACATGGACACCCAAGAGGGTGGAAGCTGGAGACTTGTGACTTCTGGCAACAAGCAGAGATCACCTCCAGCTGCAGTGGGTCGTGTGGAGAACAGATATGCAGCCCTAGCAGCAGAGAGGAAGGAGCACGTTCCATTGGTGGAAGAAGACAGGCCAGGGCTGACCAAGGTGGGAAGGATCGAGATGATCGCCACCAAGAAGTGATGGGTGGTGGTGGCTGGAAACTCCCTTCACGGGGGACAGAGGGAACCATTTGCTGACCTGACCTGTTGTCTCTGGAGATCTGCTGCAGATCCAGAGCCCGGATCTGAGATGTCACGGAGGGACTACCAAGGCTCATCCAGCCCTCTGACTACTACCCCATGCTGCTCATCCATGTGGGCACCAATGATGCTGCCAGGGGAGACCCTGAGCATATCAAAACTGGCTATAGGGTTCTGGGTATAAGAGTGAGGGGGTCTGGAGCTCAGGTTGTGTTCCTGTTGATCCTTCTGATGAAGGGAAAGGGCCCAGGCAGGAGCAAGTGCATCCTGCAGATCAACACCTGTCTGTGCAGGTGGTGTTGCCAGCGGGGCTTTGGCTTCTTTGACCATGGGATGGTCTTCCAAGAAGAAGGATTGCTGGGAGAAGATGAGAACCACCAGATGAAGAGAGG